TGCGCTCCTAATGCAGGGGGCATAGATCTGATCCCTGGTTGGGGAACTAAGATATATCACATGGTATATAGCTGGGGAAAAAAAAAAAGGTGAATTAAAAAAAACAAAAACAAAAAAACCTGAGTTAAATAAAGCAAAATGTGAAGATCTAATAAATTTGGGGGGTGAGTAGATGGGTGCTTGTTGTATTATTTGCATGCATTTTTAGAAATATTAAAATCTTTAAAAAGTTTTAAAAGCATTATTAAAGGAAATAATCAATACAATATTTTTGGAGAAATTGTTCCTTGGAGAATCAACCATGAATATGGCTTAAAAATGTGGTATGTGATTCACTGTGTCTTTTCCTGCACTCTCATCTATCTCATGGATGATTTGTACCTCTTTTCTGCTACGCTAATCATAAGTTTCAGAATTCTTTTCAAAGCACTTCAGGAAAACAGTAACAACTGATAGAATGAGCAACACAACATGGAGTCTGATTGTCATTTCCAGACAGAATGGATTTAAAACTCTACTGGCTCAGTTAACCGGCAGAGTTAAGGAATGAAGATTTTCCAGTTAATTGTATTTCCTAGTTTAAATTAAAAAAACAAAACAAAACACTTCTACCTACAGTTGTGAAAATTGATTATGGGTGAAACGTCTTCAAACACAGCAAAATAAATATGTACAAGACTAGAAATTCTCATGAAAACTCATATTCTCCATGTTCAAAGGGGGAGTGCTAAGTCACTTCAGTTGTGTCCAATTCTTTGCGACGCTATGGACTGTAGCCTGACAGGCTCCTCTGTCCATGGAACATACTGGAGTGGGTTGCCAGGCCCTTCTCCAGGGGATCTTTCCAACCCAGGGATTGAACCTGCATCTCTTACATCTCATGCATCAGCAGGTGAGTTCTTTACCACTAGAATCATCAAAGGGGGGCAGTCTGGGCTTTTTTCTCAGCTGAAAATAAGCAAAGAGGATGTCAAAAACACATATTCTAGAAGTTGGGATGATTTGTATTTTAAAAAACTGGACAGCCCTGAAATACATTTTAATCTAGACAACTGTCACTAACAAGAAATCAGATTTCTACTTAAAAAAAAATTTCCAACAGAGAAGAGTTCCCCTCCTTTTTGATCTCTTTTTAAATACAGAGAATATATACTTGGACAAAGCCAAGACCTAGATATCTAAGTAATATTTATATATTCTATTTAACATATGCCAATAGGTAAATTTTCACGGTGAGTGTATTTTTTGGAAGTGCAATATTTGGTTTCCTTCCTCTTCTGCTTATTTACACTTAAAATAGATTTAAGGGTAGCACCCTTTTTTCTAACTTCTGGAATTGTAAAGTTCTGGATATTACCTTGGAATATCCAACAAGGAAAGAGTCTCTCTGTAGCTCAAGGGCTTTTGATTTCTTTGGTTTGTTCCAAACTGCACACCCTCTCAGCAGGAGACAATATACCTCCTCTTAGCAGGTAACACAATACACAAACAGTGTCAGTAGGACACTGCTACTCTATATTCTTGCAGTAAATTTTAGCTATGTTTTCAGATACAAAGCTCAGTTTACACAATGTGATCAGATTTCAGTACAGAACATGTCTGGAGCCAACAGGTCAGAAAACAGTACTAAGAACTAAGCAAAAGCAGTCAAACTATTAAGAGGTAGATTAAACATGAGTTAGAGAAGGTATGAGGGGCTGTCTTCCATTTTCTATTTGTTGTGAGAAAGAGCTTTCAAAAAGTGATTAAAGAGACTCTTGGTAATATACAGTCTAAGCCAAGGTATATATCAGGAAACTGAGGTCCAAGGTCCCAAGAGGAAGTGAAAAATTTATTAACAGATGAAGGATGTTTTATCTTTTTTCATAATTTCCTCTGGCAAATGAAATTTTTAGTTTCTTCCCAACCAACACACATAACTGTAGTCACTGTAACATTCTGATTCTTTAAACTTCTGTGATTCACCCCTAACTAGGTCTCATGCTTATTATTCTTATGCTCTTTCCACTAAATAACATTGCTTTGCTTTCCTAAGTGAGGTGTCTAACGACACCTCTCTTGCTTAGAATGAATCTATATTCTCTAAGTGTAGTGGTTAACAAATACAGAATTGCATGCACACTATGATCAAGGACCTCCTTGCTGCTCCTAACACAGCAAGAAGGCTCTTAACTCAGAGCTTATGTATTTCCAATTTTCTCTGCTCATGAAATTTTTTTCTTTGGACACCCAATTGTTCACTTACTTCCTTTCAGGTGACTCAATGTCACTTTATCAGAGATGTCTCCCCTAACAACTCTATATAAAATAGCAATTCTCCCCACTCCTTGTTCTTCCTCAATGTGTATTACTTCCTGACATGTTAAATAGTTATTATTTGTTTCTTACAGGTAGAATATAAGTTCCACAGAGTTCAGACAATATGGTATAGTAGACCTAGACGAGTGATTGCTCTGTGTACATCCCATTTCACCTCCTACTGCTTTCAACCATGGTTTCCTTTCTTCAAAGTGCTAATCAGATTTACTACTCTTTTACTTTGCTGGGCTTAAAGAACACAGTCCTTTCAGGTCAAGCTTTCTCTGCTACCACTCACTTATGTATAACAAAAGTAAATCAGCTTGCTCCCAAATCAAAGCAGATGGCTTAGAACAAGTCACACTTGTCATTGTCAAAAGAGAACTAATAAATCACATTTAAAAAGACTATCCAAAAATGAGATATTTTAAATAACGAAAGTATAAGAAAATGTGCTGTGAAATATATTATGCAAAATGAATACTAAACAATCTACAACTTGCATCAAGTGAAGACCATCTATTTAATGGTCATCTTTTCATCTTAACTCCACATAAAGTGCAAAGTTTTACTGTTACATTGATAATAACGAAAATCTATTTGATACTATGTGCTATGACACATCATTAGCTTTAATTTTTATAATAATCCTTTGAGGGTTTTTATTGTTGTCTCAACTATAGATAAGAAAACAAAGACAAAATTAATTAATCTGCTTTTGATCACAGGTTAAGTAAATGGTGAAATCAGTCTCGACTTCAACTTCAGGTGTTAAAGATCTAGACTATGTTGTTACACATCTCTGCGAGTAAATTAAGATTTACCGGCAACTCAAGCGTAATTGTCCAAAACCAAACTATTTTTTTCTCCACATCTACTCCTCCTCAAATGTCCCTTATTTCAGTAGATGCCTCTCAACCACTTTCAAGCTGGCCTTCATAGATTCCCTCTGTTCCTTACCTCTCATACCCTACCTGCAATCTCTAGAACCATCTACTTCTTTCCACAGGTTCTGCTTCAGTCAGACCTGAATTATGTAACAGGCTGAAGTGTAAGAGTTCTCCTTCAAGATACACTCTAATGATATATATAACTGATTAAAGCGGCAAAAGAACAAACTCAAATTTCAAAAATAAGGCTTAATGCAAGCAACACTTGACATTATTAAATTCCAACATCTGGAATAATTCCGTCCATGGAATTTTCCAAGTAAGAGTACTGGAGTGGTTTGCAATTTCCATTTCCAGGGGATCTTCCTGACCCAGGGATCAAAACCCCATCTCATGTCTCTTGCATTGGCAGGTGGATTCTTTACCACTAGTGCCACATACAATTCTTGTAATAGAATTTAACTGATTTTTCTATATCCTTTTTCAGTTTTTCATTCCATCCTTTCTTCCCCCCACTTTGGTGATCCTTCTCTAGCAAAACTCTTCCCTTTTAAATACATTTATTTATCTGCCTATTTGGATGGTTTTGAAAATTGTCATCAACACAAACCACTCACTTATGACATACTAACCATAAGTTAGTTCCCTTTTCCTTTCAAAGGGCATACCACAGCCTGACAGAGAGGGAGCCCTTTCTCATTTATCATAGCTATATGGATTTTTTATGAAATCTAAGTTCTTTAGCAAAACATGTAATAATAGCAGCACCTTTTTATAGGTGCAGTGTTTTCTGCTTTTAAAGTACTTCCATACATATTTCAGCAGTCTTGTGAAGTAAGCTTTATAGTTACTGTTCTAAGATTATTTTTAATGTTTTGGCACATAGTAAGAATTGGCTTTGTAAATAGATTTTCACTTTTCCTTAAGGTATTTCAACCATTACTTAATCTGTACTTAATTAAAGAAGAAAGAGAAAATAAGACCTAACTGAAGGAAAACAGTAGCAAAAATCAAATTTAGAATTTCTATGTAAAAACAAATGACCCAAAGAAGATCACAAATACTTTTTTCTTAGTAGAATCAAAGAAAGTAAAAGTCTATAGAAATCAAGTTAAATCTCTTAACAAAAATTTTAACCACATGGTATATGGTTAATATAATAGCCTAAAAAATAAAGATAACTATGACACATAGAAATTAGCTGTAAAAAGCATGCACAGGAAGGACATGCTTTTACTTAGAATAGCATGCTTCAATTAAATTTGCAGGCAATTGAAGGGGAATGTAAAACTGATGTATAAATCTTACCTACTTTGCAATTAAATTAAATACACATTTACAGAAAGTCTGCTCTCCTTTTTTGGGTCAGAACAAGCCAACAACAGCAAGTAGCCAGAGATTACAATTAATATAAAAGAAAAATTTAAGAGGAAATGGATTTGCTAGACTCATTACATTTTAAGTCTTAGCTTCAAGAAATGAGTGATTATTTGCAATGAAGTTGGCAAGACAGGAAACTGAGTTAAAATTTATCAATCTTTTAAATGGCTTTTCTAAGTACTTTTCTTTTTTTTAAAGGGGGGAAATTCCCCTTGGTATTTTATACCTCTTTGTGATGATATATTTATTTCTACTGTTGACTTTGACTCTTCAGAGCTCACAGAAGTGGAAAAGTGTTTGGATTCACTAGTTCAAATTACCATATTTTCTTCATTAAGAGGAAAGTCAGGTAGTATAAATAATGAAAAGCCAAATAAGAGATCCAGAAAGAAATTAACTAGGAAGGCGACCAACTGCGTAGCTTATTCTTACCTTGGCTGTTTTTTTCACGGGTTGACATTTTTGCTGGTTGAGACAAAAATGACATATCTTACAATAAAAATTAAAAGATTTTCTTAGATGACTATAAAATATGCTTTCTTTTTTATTATTGTGAGCTAATAAATAAAATACACTGAATGAAAATAAGTCAATATTCTTATCAAGAGGGAAAACTTATGATTTAGAAAACGTATTTTTTAAAAAGGATTTTTAATTTACCTTGGTTGATGATGACATCTTTATGCCTACAAAAAGAATTCAAAGATATTTATTTCATAACCTTATTTGGCTCACTATTATAATCACCTGAAAATTGCAAAAGCTTTAATGTCTAGGCTACATCCCAAATAAATCTGCAGATGTGAAACTCAGGCATCAGTATTCTTTAAAGCTTCTCACTGGTCTCAACTACTAATATACACTGTGTCATAAAACAAGGAATATTCCATTAGGATCACTTAAATAGTAAAACATAGAAAGAATTTATGAAAAATATTCTAATTTTATGACATTATTGAGATTTATTATGAGTTGAGAAGCATTAACAGGAAGACATAGCTTTTTTTTAAAGAACACAAAAGAAAAAATGTACTTAGAAGAAAAAAGATATAAATTAGAAATACAGATTTTTAAAAATGATTCAAACAAGGCATATACTGTACATGCAAACATGAGAGTAAAAGAACTAGTAATTTTCAGATAGTATAGTACTTACTTGTCTGTATTTTTTATAACTTTTGATATTAATTTTGATGTTGAAACTGCCCTCAATAATTTATTACGGCTATCGTCTGAATTTTCCCATGAATTATGTGACTTTTCAGCTGTCGGTGGTCGTTTTATGCTGGAAGAAACATTAATTTATTAGAGAAAAATTCTATGCATAGCAATCACATGTAACTGACAGTTTGAAAAGAACATATAAGCAGCAATTAACATTTTCTTAAAGCTAATCCAGAAAAGAGAAAGAATGATTAGTTGAAAGGTTCTGTGCCTGGATGAGTGAAGGAGTTAAACAAGGCAATTACCTAGTCTCTTTTTAATTTTCACTATTTTTCAAAAGATTCACTAGAATAAATAGTACTCGATTTTTAGAACACCCATGTGCTTAAATCTGAATAATTACTCTCTCATAATTTATGAAATTGTGTGAATTTGTGAAAAAACTTATTCAAAATCATGACAAGGCTGCTATTTTCATTTTTTATGTCCTCATGTAATTAAATTATATATGGTACAAATGACAATTTCTAAATAATTTTGGGACTAAAAGCAAAACTCTTGTTTGTATCTCTCAATTTTACCCATGATCAGAAATAAAAACATTTTAATACAGGAATGTTTTGATATTATCAAAACTAATCCCATATATTTATAACTGAAATATTTTGATTTATAAATGATTTTTTTGCTGCACTGTTAACTGTCCTACAACTCATCCAGTCTTCAATACATCTTGTAATAGTACATTCAAAGGGAAATTCAGAATGGCAAGCACATTTCCAGGAGACCTTAAGAAGCTGAAAAAAGAGATCTGGGACAAAGAATGTGCCAAGTCAAATCAGAACCTTAAAGAGATTGATTACAAAAAAGCCACCTTTAATCACACACAATCCAAGGCTGCAAAACATTAATAAGCTATATCCAAGAAAAACTCCACATTAGATCAGGCAGAAGAATTACAAACCATTAAGATAGGATAAGAATCTGAGTGAGACACACAAAGCATTTAAAAAATGTCAAACATGCATCAATCAAGCGAAGGGTGTTATGTTTTCCCAAATTTTCCATTAGAGATTTGAGGCAAAATAGTAAGCTAATCAAATAAAAATATATTAAAAATCTTTTAGGAATGGATGTCATTTGTTTTTATTAAAATCCTAGCCAGTTCTGGGAATGGTTTAATATTTTCCTAAGATTTCCAAGTGGAAGTATGATGATAAAATATATCTATACCTAAACATAAAGCTTGAATCAACATCCCTAAAGCAGGCAAATGTCACTAAGTTGGTCTAAATATTTGATTCCAAGGCAGCTGTAGTGCTGAACTCCCAGCATGCAAGTTTAGACCCCCAATTTAGGCTCACACACATTGTTAGAACGTTTCTCCCTTCTCCCCTTCTCAAAATTTTAAAATATTAATTATTAAGACACAGAGAGAAGCCCTCAAGCAAGCCTTTAGCATAGAAAAGATGAGGAGAAATGAATTCAGTTCTCTACTCAAGCAAGAACTTATCCTCCCAAAACCCAAAACTGAAACTGAGATGCAGTCACAGTAAAGAGCCGTATGTTGTGAAGGGCCCTGACAAGCTGAAGGTTGTAATGATGCCAAAATATGGCGAGCATAAGAACACATGCAATTTTTTATCCATGGCTATAAATTTATGCAGTTATACATATATTTTTAATATTCTGTAATTTTAAACTGTTGTTTTGGTTTCAGAGTAGGTTACCTTTGCCTTCCTTTCATCTTTATAACCTAGCTTTTTCCTCAAGTTTTAACTTATAGATTTTGAATAACTGTAAATGGTAATTTTAAATTATCATTCCTCAATGTGTTAAAATACAGATTACTGCCACAAAGAAGTGAAGGGAAAAAAGTCAACAAGTTTTTCTCTTAGAATCCATGGATAGCCAACTTTCTCTCAAGTCACAGAATTTAGGGATCATTACAACCATTCCCTAACTCTGTACTTGGGGTCAGTTAAAACCTTTTGGTGGGAGTAGAATTCTTGCTTTCTTGAGTTTGCCTGTGTATTTGGAGAGGCTGTGAAGAGGGCTGGGGAGAAGGTGATGCTCGAATTTGTGGACTTTGATCATTAGAGTGAGAGTCCTCTTTTTTTTCTCTGTGTCCTTGTGGTTTTTCTTTCTTTTTTTCTGTACCACTGTAAAATAAAGTATAACATGGAACAACACACATTTTAAACAAAAAAGATATCAAATGATGGAAAAAGTTACTATTATATAATTCAAAATCCTAAATCATACAGCTAACACAATTTACACTGCTTTCATTCAATAATGAAAATATTTCTTTAAGAATTCTGGAAGCTATTAAAATCTTCAGTAAACAATTTATTATAATTCTAAGACAACATATCCTATGAAGATTGTCCCTTTGGACCAAATTGGCCTCTAATGCCTTATGCCATCTTAGAAAATGTTGGGGGACAGTAAAAGCTCTCTTCCCTGACTTCAGTTCATCCACATCAGAGCAGCAGTGCCCCTGGTTAAGCACACTCACGCCCAAGGACACTAAATGCTCACGTTCTGTAGGCTTCCTCTGATTCCTGCTTCTTTTGTATACTTCTGCTCTCAGCAGCTGAGTCTTACACTTACCAAGAGTCAACTGTGTTTTTTCCCCTGAACTTCTTCATACCAGTTGTACTTGTTATTTTAACGATTAAGTTAATAACATACAAAGAAAACTGACAAAATGTGCAAAGAAAAGAGAATAATTTCTATGTAAACTAAGCTGAATTCTTTGCAAAGACCAAATAAAAATGAGTTACTAAAAGAACTGCTATTAAATTATTTGTGTAGGTGAAACAATTACAAAAGATTAAGAAAAAAAATCATTGAAAGAAGATGGGTTCTAGTTCATACCATTTTGCAAGAATTTTAAGTTTCTTTTTCTGTCTTAAAAAATGAAACTAAAAATTGTAAAAAACAATTTATGGGTGTATTTTACACAAGACAGTAAGTAAATCAGAGATGAATATTTAAGAGAGGAAAATGGGGGAGACTCAGTCTTTCATTAAAAAATTGACAAATGAACACAGTGAAAGTTGCTCAGTTGTGTCCAACTCTTTGTGACCCCATGGACTGTAGTCCACCAGGCTTGTCCATGGAATTCTCCAGACAAGAATACTGGTATACTGGGTAGCCATTCCCTTCTCCAGGGGATCTTCCCTACTCAGGGATCGAACCTGGGTCTCCTGCATTGCACAGATTCTTTACTGTCTGAGCCACCAGAGAAGCCCATATGAACATATTTTAAGCTAGAATAAAGTATTTCAGATATTTATTTATAAATTCACATGATTCCACACCGACTCTTGGTTAATGAAGCATCGCTATCCCTGATCACACTGGATAAGAGTCCTTATACTACACAAACACTTCTGACAATATTACAAAACAGATGGAAACGATTCCAGCGTTGAAAAGGCATAAAATTGCAACTATCTTAACCAAAGGACATTTTAAAATTTACTATAAGGTGCATAATTTACAAAGAAGTATGTTTAAGAACATGCTAAACAAATGTAAATAGTACATACAATTTAACCACATGGTAATAATGAATAATGTTCAAATATAATTTTGACAGTAACATTTCTTAATCTGATTCATTCTGATACGTTCTGACTTCACACTGGCTTTTGATTGTCTTGTTCATACTCAATTTTTAAAGTATATGCTGAGAAACTTAATTCTACCTCAAAAATATCAAACTAGCTTTGAAATTTAAAACTGAATTAGAAACTACTTCTTTCTTACTGGTCTTCAAATTATTCTGAATTCACAGCACTGGGCCAGTAGTCTTATATGGACCCAGTAGATTTTCCTTCTGGGTTATTTCAAAACAAAACACAAAGCTCCTGCATCATAAATTAACAAACTCATCTGGTTTAAACTAAGTCACTACTGTATATAATACTGACCACTGCACATAACTATAGCTATGTAAGAAAATGGGCTGATACAACAAGGAGGTTTATTATTAAAAATTGTACTAAAAATTTCCACCACATGTTTATGTTTTCATCATTTGTCCTTTTCTCCTCAAACTGGAACACAGGTAATAAATTTTGGCATGCTTTGGAGGATAAAGTCTAGATGCTATAACAACAATGACTTAATGACTCAATTACAGAACGGGATTTTTAAAAGGCCTAAAGATTCTGTCATTTCTTCACCATTCCTGTAGTCAAATGTCTGGTTAACATCTGTGAAAACACACTGACAGAAAACTCAGCATTAGCTTACTGAGGCAACCATTTTCCATCAGCATATTTTAAATATTATGCTATTACTTAAAGTTTTTCTTCAATCATTCTTTGAAGAAAACAGCTTTAAGATCCTATAAGCAATTTTATTAGAATAGACTGAATTAATTAATTCATGAAAAGAACAGAGAATGTAAACCTGTAATCCACTGAAATTTTTATATTGCAATATTTCCACTGCCTTCCTGTCCACCACCCCCTAACACACACACATACCCATTTTTAAATTAAGCCTCAATTTTATAATTATGATTGAGAATAAAAGTTATAGCATCTAATCACCCACCAATGTACATATATACCAAAGATTCTAAAAACGCTGTAAAAAATTCTTAAAATTCTAAAAATGCTATATCAAATGTATTACTTGCTATGCAAAATTCACTTATATAATTACATTAAATATAGTCATGCTTATCTCATCAACAGATGCTTATTAAAAAGAAACAAAACCAAACCAGGAAATGAAACTGCTGCTTTCTTTAGTAAAAACCAAAAACTTCCTCACACAACTCCATAGGTATGATGAATGTAAACTCAGCGAGTACAAGCAGGATATCACTACATTCAGAGACAAAGAGTTCAAAAGACATGCTCACTTGAATTCCATACAGCTCTTATTTCATATTCTTTTCAAAAGTAGACTGAGTTATCACATTCAGATAGTTTTGCAATGTTAGCTTTTTACAAATGCATACCTTTTAGCAGCAGATGAAAGAGTTTCTTTTCTTGCGATTGAGACAGAGCTGGTGTGACTTGGTTTTCTGTTGGTACCACTCCCGTTGGTTATACAGGACATAGAAATAGCTTCTCGAAGGCCTGGCTGGCCTAGATATGGTTAAGAAAAAAGTTTTAAAATCAAATTTCAAAATATTCCTCAAAGATTAGAGCTTTAAAAAGTAAGTCCATTAGTGTTTAGATTCAGTAAGCAGACTGCCCACCCCGCCATAGGCAACATACAAAATTGTTTTTTTTCAGTAAGCATCAAGTATATAAACAAAGGACTGAGTGCAAAAAGATAAATATCTGTAAACTGAGACAACTCTATGTGGTATATAAAGTTATAAATTATTTGGAAAAATTATATAAAAACATAATGAAATAGTTATTTCCTCCAGAGAATAATGAACTTTGCTAGCTTGTACACCCAACTTTAATTAGATACATCTCCAGTATTGTCTATAGTTCAAAAGGAAATGAATAAGATCTGAAGGTCTCAGAGAAATCCATTATGCAGCACACAATATTATTGTCTGAAGATTTAATCTCATTAAAACAGACCTATAAAAAAGACATGCTAATTTGCTGAACTGCAGCTCAAGTCATTCTCTAACTAAACGGCTTATTTTTCACACACAGTAGCTTTAAAGGACATGATTCAAAGCTGTGCCTTAAGTAAACCACAAGTCCCCACATATCAGCGATTTTCAGAAAGAGCTCAGGTTCTGTTGACATTTAATTGATTAGAAATCCTAGATATCATAAATCTTGGATGTTAGAATACTGTTCCCTATAAATAAAGCATAAATATATGAAATAACCTCTGTTGTCTTCATTCAAACAGGAGGAGGACTGGAATGTATGTGTGATGAATATGCTGGCAAGGTAATGGGAAGGAAGACACAGCCACAAGATAAAAAAGCCACATCTATTAAGGGTCAAATTTATTTAAAAATTTGGAAGTAGAGAATAATTTTGAATTTTTGGACTCAGTTTTCTCACATGAACACAAGAAAATCTTTTCTATTTGGCCAATCTCATTTTTTTCCTTCATAAAAGCACAGGGAACAAAAACTTTTATGTATAGAGCCTACAACATCTGGCAGCCTAGGATGTTACATGTGTGATAGTACAGCGCTGAATTTCTGACAATGATATGCTGTTGGGAGCCACTTGTGTCAATCATAGAATACTTCCTTAATTTTGAGGTTCCTATTCCCTACCTCAGACAGAATGAATCAGGAGAGGAAGGAAAAGACCTGTTACAATTTATTTTTCAAACTTCCCAGGAAAATTTTCACATATAAGGTAAAATAACCCCCAAACTATGCTAATATCACTGATCATCAGATCTAGTGATGGTCTGCCAAACAGTGATTTCTTGTTACCTTAATTTATTTTTCTTTTTACTGTAGTAAAACACTCATAAAATGTACTATTTGAACCATTTCAACACGTGCAATTTAGCGGCATTTGGTATACTCACAATGTTGTGCAACCATCACCACTACCTAGGTCCAGAATATTTTTATCACCCCAAACAGAAACCCTGTACTCATTCATCCCCCATTCCCTCCAACCCATCCCCCAGCCCTTGCCGCCCATTAATATTCATTGTCTCCATAGTTTTGGCTATTCTGAGTATTTCATATACATGGAATCATACACTATGTGCTTTTTGTGTGTGGTTTCTCTCCCTTAGAACAATGTTTTCAAGGTCCATCCACGTGGCAGCAATGTAAGAGTATTTTATTCTTTATTCTTTTTATGGCTGAATAATTTTTACAACTATGCCATATTTTGTTTACCCATTCATCTGCTGATGAACATCTGGGTTGTTTTCTCCCTTTGCTATTGTAAATAGTGCTGCCTTAAATATCTGTATACAAGTTTTCCTTTGAACATGTTTTTAATTATTTTGGGTAGATAGCTAGGAGTTGGATTGCTGGGTCACAGCGTTACGTTTAACTTATTGAGGAATCCCCAAACCCAGCAACTGCACCACTTTATAATGTTACCAACAGTGTATGAGGGTTCCAATTTCACATCCTTGCCAACACTTGTTATTTTCAGGGTTTTTTTCCAACTGTAGCCATCTCTGGGAATTCAGTGCTATCTCATCATAGTTTTGATTTGCATTTCCCTAACACTGAGAATCTTTTACTGGATTTGCTGGCCCTCTGTATATCTTTGGAGAACTATCTATTCAAGATCTTTGACTATTTTTCAGTAAGAATATATGATGCAAATTGTTCACAGTGCTCTCTACATACATGTAGAAACTGAAATCCCAATTCCTCCTATATTACATATTCCTCTATATTACACACAGAAATGTAAAACAGCACCGCATGTGCACCCATGCACACACATACACACACATCCCTGGTGTACAGAAAAGTACTGGCGAACACGAAAGGACCAAATGATCTGGCAATTCCAGGTATATACAGCCCCCAAAATTGAAGGCAGGAAGTCAGGCAGATATCTGTATACCCATATTCATAGTAGCATTATCCACATAGCCAAAAGGTAATGCTCAAAATTCTCCAAGCCAGGTTTCAACAGTACGTGAACCGTGAACTTCCAGATGTTCAAGCTGTATTTAAAAAAGGCAGAGGAACCAGAGGTCAAATTGCCAACATCCGCTGGATCACAGAAAAAGCAAGGGAGTTCCAGAAAAACATCTACTTCTGCTTTATTGACTATGCCAAAACCTTTGACTGTGTGAACCACAACAAACTCAGGAAAATTCTGAAAGAGATGGGACTACCAGACCACCTGACCTGCCTCTTGAGAAACCTGTATGCAGGTCAGGAAGCAACAGTTAGAACTGGACATGGAACAACAGACTGGTTCCAAATCGGGAAAGGAGTACATCAAGGCTGTATACTGTCACCCTGCTTATTTAACTTACATGCAGAGTACATCATGAGAAACTCTGGGCTGGATGAAGCACAAGCTGGAATCAAGATTGCCGGGAGAAATAGCAATAACCTCAGATATGCAGATGACATCACCCTTATGGCAGAAAGTGAAGAAGAACTAAAGAGCCTCTTGATGAAAGTGAAAAAGCTGGCTTAAAGCTCAACATTCAGAAAACTAAGATCATGGCATCTGGTCCCATCACTTCATGGCAAATAAATGGGGAAACAGTGGAAACAGTGGCTGACTTTATTTTTTGGGGCTCCAAAATCACTGCAGATGGTGACTGCAGCCATGAAATGAAAAGATGCCTGCTCTGTGGAAGAAAAGCTATGACCAACCTAGACAGCATATTAAAAAGCAGAGACCTTTGGCCATCTAGTCAAAGGAAGGTCCATCTGGTCAAAGTTACGGTTTTTCCAGTAGTCATGTATGGATGTGAGAGTTGGATTATAGAGAAAGCTGAGTGTTGAAGAATTCATGCTTTGAACTGTGGTGTTGGAGAAGACTCTTGAGAGTCCCTTGGACTGCTAGGAGGTCCAACCAATCCATCCTAAAGAAAATCAGTCCTGAATATTCATTGGAAGGACTGATGCTGAAGCTGAAACTCCAATACTTTGGCCACCTGATGCGAAGAACTGACTCATGTGAAAAGACCCTGATGCTGGCAAAGATTGAAGGTGGGAGAAAAATGGGACGACAGAGGGTGAGATGATTGGATGGCATCACCAACTCAATGGACATGAGTTTGAGTAAACTACAGGAGTTGGTGATGGAGAGGGAGGCCACGGGTTCGCAAAGAATTGGACAGGACTGAGCGACTTCACTTTCGCTTTTCATTTTCATGCACTGGAGAAGGAAATGGCAACCTACTCCTTGTTCTTGCCTGGAGAATCCCAGGGATGGGGAACCTGGTGGGCTGCTCTCCATGGGGTCGCACAGAGTTGGACACGACTGAAGTGACTTAGCAGAGCGACTGAACTGAACTGACCCAAATGTCCATTGACAAATGACTGGTATATATATATACAATGGAATATTAGTTGGCCTAATAAGGAAATGAAATTGTAAAACATGTTATAACATGGATGAACCTTGAAGACATTATTCAAAGTGAAATAAGCCAGATAAGCAGAAAAGAGCAACTGTCATATTTTAATTATACTAGATACCTGGAGGAGTTAAATTCATATAAACAGAAAACAAAATGGTAGCTGCTAGAAAAAAAAACAAAATGGGGAAAGGAGTAGATGGATGCACAGCTTCAGTTTGGGAAGATAAGAGAGCTCTAGAGATGGATGGTAGTGATGGTTACACAACCAATGTGAATGTAATTAATGCCACTGAACTGTACACCTAAAAATGGTTAAAGTAGTAAATTTTATGCCATGTATTTTACAATAAAAATGTTTTAAAAAGTCAACATATCATCAATGTTTCAAAGTCCTACAGTTTACTGTTCAATTCTTCAAATGCTTCCAAGGTATCTTGTGAAATTACCATTTATCTCCACATGATTAGATGGCAGTGTTATGCCTTACAGTTTTGATGAGTCTCAGAAGGTTCTTTCGTCGCATCCTAGACACTCACTTCAAAAAGATGAGATATATTATGATGTATTGGCCATTTTGAGGTATATACATTAATATAATGGCTTCCTTTTTATTATTCACTATAAAGGTTTCTGAGTACTAAGCCAGTTATAAAGTATACAGGCAATAACAATTTTAAAAATCGAAATATCTTTTCAATTATCTAGTTATTTTATTCTTTATCATGTAAAATAAGTGAAAAATAGAAAAATAAAGATGCTTGTATGAATAAGATGGTAGGTCTCAAAAAACATACTATGTGACTGAAAATTATCAAGTACTCTATGTTGAAAATGATAAATCTTTAGCCTAACCTGAACTCTCATTGAATCTGGTTGACTGTATAAGTACAAGGGAATGAGAACAAAATTAAAAACACTGGAGAAGTTTTGCAGCCACACCACAGACAGAAGTACAAATCATGTTTATTATATTTTTAATATCTTTATCAGAATCCTGCCAATATACACATGATAAAAGTCTTTCAGGAAGGAATTATACATTAATGTTCTCTTTCTGAAAAACTGGAGTGCAGCAGTGAGATAGGCCACTAATCAATACTTATTTTTAAATTTTGTCTGTTTTTAAGTC